TTTTTTTTTTACAAATTTCACCATTCTTCGTTTCCCTCCCTTTTGTCTGCTATGAAGAACAAGGAAATCATTTTGCTTCGCTACGTAGCAAAAGCTTTTTATTTTTTTCTCGAATATTCAGCAGAAAAATGAGGGCATGAACTACGTGGATAAAAAGTCAGAGTAATAAATCTGCGCAGATTCTTGCAGATGATGATGCTTGAGGCTCATTGAGCAGAATTTCCCTCTGGATTTCAGTCAATTTTTTGTATTGTCATGTTGTTGAGTGCGATGAAAAATCTGGAGACTTGAATAATTACACTGAATTCAATCTGGGCAATATTTTTTTCATCTGCTTCGCAATATAGAGTGAAACACGTGAGCAAATTCTAGAAAATGAAAATCTGCTCGAATTTTTATCAAGAGTATAAAAAGACTTTCCACGAACAGGATTTGCGAGAAGTGATGGTCAAGCAAGTGATGATCTGAAGTGGTGTCGAAGAAACTTATTCATTAACTCACTCATGTATCAATTTGAGATATTTTATTATTAAACAAATGTTAACCAAATAAAAAAAATTAATAACAGGTTCGTATTAAAAGTGAAGCATCATCAGCTCTTACTTTGAATCCACGTATCAAACCGATTGATTCGTGTATGCATATGTAATTGCATTTGTGGGCAAAAATTCTAGACTGTATTTATCGCATGTTTTCTTTCTGATGTACTGTATTCATTTATTACGCACCGAATGCTTTTGATTGTATTTGGAATTGTATTTGGATACTTATTTTGTGAGAGAGAAAAAGTCCAAGAGTTTTCTCGGAGTTGTTCATTTTCTTCATCTTCCTTCGGTTTCGAACGATTGAAATTTGGTCAACCTGTTTACTTTTTCTCTGCATATTTATTGTGCATGGTTTCCGTTCTGGAAATACAGTATGAAAATATCATTGAATTATAGCTTCTCGAAGTAGATCAGAATCAATCAAGGTGTTTTTACTCTGAAAAGATTAAGACAGCAATTTATTCTCGATTTTTTCATTGAAAAGCTTTAGGACAAGAAAAATGTATACCTGCATAGTTCGAAAATCCCTCGCTCAAAAAGTGATTTGATAAATTATTTTCCATCAAACCCTTACCTAAAAAAAAGCTGGGGAAATTACAATTTGATTTTTTCAACAAAAACGAAAGATAGACTTTCCTATAGCATAGAGTCGCTGGTATTCTGTCGACGAGGCGTGATATGGAGAGAAAGAAAAATCCACCTCGTTGGAAATTTTTTTGCTTGGAAAAAGACTAACCTTCATGAAAAGAGCAAGTAAAGAAAAGGAAGAAAAACCAACGATGTCACTAATCAGATAACGGTTGACGTAAGTTGCGACTGTAAGACGACTGAGTTTCTGAACACCCAACAGCAGTCAGTTTGTTCTGTGTGGAGCACAATATGAAAGACCATCGGCTGATTCGACGAATAATCTTTCTCGTCGTGTTTCTGACGAGTGTTTGTTTTGCTCAAAAATTAAATGAAACCGGTGTGTATTTTCATTTTCTAAATTACAGTGTTCCCCGACCTGCAGCATTTTTCATGCGGGTCCACAATTAAGACATTTTTCAGCATAATAAATTTATTAAAAATAGCAATGCAATCTATCATCTTTATCTGAAATTTTGAAAAGACAAGTGCAGTGAAATTATGTGATGGAAAAATAAAAGTTGGGGTTTCTGCTAATAACCAATTCAAAAAATTTTCACTTGTCAAAATAAATTACAGTATTTTAATTTTTCATTCTGACAAGAAACGTGTCTTCAAACCAACCTTTCTAATTTTTTTTTAGAAATTTCACTCTACGTGATCAATTGGTTCTTGGCATAATTTTTGCAAAAAAAAAAGCAGAAACTTTTCAAATACCTGCCATGAAGTCTTTCAAAAAAACTTTTTGATTTCAAAATTTTTTATGAAATCGTGCTGGTCCACAGAAATTTCTTTGTAAATTTGCCAGTCCTCAAAAAGTTGGTCTGTCGGCCCAAAAAGGTTGGGGAACACTGCTCTACACTGAAAACCGCATTTTTAAATTATAAATTTTGATTTAATTTTTCTTTGATTTTGGGGGAATCATCAGGAATCGCAAGACAGGATGATGAGCCCGTGATTATCAATGGAGTTGAAATAACTGATAGGAGTCTCGGGTTCCAGCATCTGGCAAGAATTCAAATGTCTCTTTTGGGATTGTTGTCGGGATCATGCACTGGATCTTTGATCTCTACAAACTATGTTCTCACTGCTGGACACTGTGTGAAGAAGACTTTGTGAGTCACATTTTTCCTATTATTCAAAACAAGAATAATATCTTCAATGCAACGGTTTTCACCTGCTGAAATAAATTATTTCAATTTTTCATTCTGAGAAACCTTCCTTCAAACCCTCCTTTCTATATTATTTCTGAAGACATTCCACTTTAGCTGCTTCATTGGTTCTTGACTTAATTTTGGCAAAAAAACAAAACGCTTATAAAATACCTGCTATAATGTCTTTCAAAAAACTTCGTTCAGTCTGCAATAAATGTATGACACTTTGATGGTCTGCAGAAACTTTTCTGGGAATTTGCCTTACAGCAAACATTTTTATGGAAATTTGCTGGTTTTTAAGCTCAATGGGGAACACTGTTGTAGACAGATTACCCAGAACTTTAAAAAATTCTTTCAGAGAAATTGCGAAGATTTCCCACCAGTGGTGATTTAAAAATGATGTGAAACTCTAAATTGCTTTTTACATATATCATCTGCAACAATCCACAGTCTCAAGCTGTTCAGGTTCCCCTACAAGATCAAAGTGGTACTTGGGGACCTGTCCAAGTCACAAACTGAATCAACAGAGCAAACAATACCGGGTATTGGGTTCTTTCATTCCGATTCATATTTATTATAAATTCCTCGATCCTTCTATTTTTCATCGGAAGGAAAATTCTCATTTTCTTTCCTTGTCTGAAAGCAGTACAAAAAATCTCTTTCTGACACTATATAATTTCTGAAGACATTCCACTTTAGCTGCTTCATTGGTTCTTGACTTAATTTTGGCAAAAAATCAAAACGCTTGTAAAATACCTGGTATAAAGTCTTTCAAAAAACTTTGTTCAGTCTGCAATAAATGTATGACACTTTGATGGTCTGCAGAAACTTTTCTGGGAATTTGCCTTGCAGCAAACATTTTTATGGAAATTTGCTGGTTTTTAAGCTCAATGGGGAACACTGTTGTAGACAGATTATCCAGAACTTTCACAAATTATTTCAGAGAAATTTTGAAGATTTCCCACTGGTTGTGATTTAATAATAATGTGAAACTCTCATTTGCTCTTTGCATATATCATCTGCAACAATCCACAGTCTCAAGCTGTTCAGGTTCCCCTACAAGATCAAAGTGGTACTTGGGGACCTGTCCAAGTCACAAACTGAATCAACAGAGCAAACAATACCGGGTATTGGGTTCGCATACCCTGGTTATCCGTCGCAGTTTGGTGCCAATGACCCAAAAGACATAGCTCTCATTCGCCTGTTGATAAGTGCCCAGCTGAATGACAATGTGCAACCCATAGCCTTGGACACTTCCGGGTCAGTGCCGGAAGGAAGCACTGTCATCATAGCTGGATGGGGATCTACAACAGGCAGTGGGTAGTCATTTTAATCATTCACCCATATAGCTGCAGGTCAAGTTCTTCTTACAGTGAAATCTCAGTGCACAGCAAAGCTGGTGTTGGGAAATTGCCACAGATTCTCATCATCATTGACATTTTTAGCGAGAGACTAGAAAAAACCGACCCAGGTTTCCAGTTCCACATTGTTTGTTTCTTGCAATCTCCCTACTTAAAATGGAAGAAGACTGCAGAGAAAAGATGAGAAACAGAGAAGGACATCTTCTAAGAAAAGAAGGATAATCAATCATCGATTATTCATGCACTTTAATCTGTTTGAATGGTTGAAGATAAATAATATTTTTTCTGAAAATCAATGTTTTGTTGTTGGAATAAGTTTGTTCTTTGAGAGAAGCCAATTTGAGAATTTGGAAATTTGTACTGCACCATGAAACAACTTAAACCAAAATTACAAAATATTTCAGCTTTGATGAAATACCAAGTTCCCTAAAGCTCGTGCATAAAAAGGATACAGGTGGTACCTCACAATTCAACCATAATCTATTACCAAACTGTAGGATCAAATGGCAAAGTGGTCAAATTGCAAGACACTATGTGAAATTCAATAATATCAGTACAAAAATGCAAAAGAAGTGGCCAAAGAATTGTAGGGGAAAGGTCAAATTGAAAGTCAACCTCCCTGCAAATTTGACTGCCAAATTGTGGGATGGTTGAATTGCGGGAGGTTGAATTGTGAGGTACCACCTGCATCTTAGTCTATGAGGCAATTAAAAAAAAAAAGAGATACATCCTCTAAGAAGCCCATCCTGATTTCCTGTGACAGAAAAACCTATTTTTCAAAGCCAAGTAATTTTCATTTTTGATTGAATTGATTTGTTTTTATTCACACTTTCATCCACCCAATACTGTATATACTTGTGCCAAAATCTTATCAGTATATTTAATTGCATATTCAAATTATGAAGGCCACCAAACATTTGAAAAATTAGCAAAAGTATGTATAGAGCAATACAGTCTGCCCAAATGTTTTAGGAAACCAATGGCATTGAGTAAATTGAGTAAAAATGGTAAACTGAAAATAGAACTGGATTTTCAATATGAAGGAAACCCTTTGAATCTGCAAGAGCTGAACTAATTCCATCCATAGTTAAAATAGAGCCAATGAGAAAGAAAATAAAAGACATGAGTGACTTTTTAAAATAGTGTAATTTGCACACATTCATTCAAAAAAATTTAAATTGTCATTTAGCAACACTCTGCAAATCCCTTAATTATAGACACAGTCCAAAAATTGACTAAAAAATCCCAATTTTATCTATTCAAATTCAAAACATGGTGCATCATTTGGTTAATGTTTCTTGTCAACTATATTTTTCAAGCTGCTACTGAAGGTTCTGACAAGCTGTTGGCAGCCACGACCACCGTCTTGGCCAGCTCAAAATGTGCACGAAGTGCAACTGAACAAATGTGTCTGGGGAATTCAGCAAGTTCCAGCAGCGTTTGCTACGTAAGGAGAAAAAAAATTGACAAATTTTCAAAAATACAATCAAATGGGAAGTCTTGATATTCCCACGAGTACCAATTCTGTTCTCACCAAAGCTGTCCAAAAATTTATTATTGTTGAAGAGCAACTTGAATCCGCCTGCATGCAAGTTAAAATATTCATGACAAAAAAGCCTAAAAAAAATAGTGAATCCCAGGAATGTGAGAGGTTGATAATTTACAGGAGGATTTTGGTGCGAAGGAATACTTCACAAAACCAGAACTTGATAAAGTATACCAGTAAAAGTCGGTATGGATAAAACACATGGGATTAGATTAATCTAGAACAGCGTATTCAGGGATGTTTTTTCTGAAATTTGAATGCTCTTTGCCATTCTTTATGGGTCATTTTAGATTTTAAATTTGAAATACTCCCAGGAATTATAAAGATATTTAATGATGCTTTACTCAAGGTAAGCGCATGCATTTACAATAAAGTTAGACCTTGAAAGCTCAAACCTACCTAATAATAAGTAAAAAAAATAAAGGTCCTTCTGTCATATTTTTATTAGAGCCTGCCTGAATTATTACAAAAATCATAATGAACCTATCCCTAACCTGAAGACTAATCCAGTCAAACTTCAATTTCTGGAAGTTTTGGGGTGTTTGAGGGATTTTTTGTCCTTTCAGTACATTTATTATATGCATCAGTTCAAGGTCAAAATGCTCAGACAATTGAAATATTCTGTTGTACATTGTTATCCAGAAAAAAATGACCATTTCCCTTACTCAAAAAACCTCCCAAAGTCAGTTTTGCTTTGTTTGCTGTCCCTTTAAGGTTGAATTAAATTGCTTCAACTGTGATATTTTCTTTTTATTTGTACAGGGAGACAGTGGAGGACCAACTATGTACAATGGCAAGCTAGTAGCTGTGGCCTCATTTGTAGTGTCTTCCAGCTGTGACCCAGCTGAATCATCTGGAGCTGTAAAAGTTTCAGCTTATGCCAGCTGGATTGAAGGAAAAATGAACGGCTAATTGCATGTTGAATTCGAGATATTTATCTTCAAACAATTTTAGCAAAACTTCACTTGCATATTATATTTTTTGTGGAGAAATTATCAAAAGTGCATCACGGCGTATGTTGAAAAAATGGCACAATAAATAAGCTGTACTTCAAATAAAATCCTGGAAGGAAGAAAGACTTCTAGGATGCGCCTTGATTTTTACTATTTCATATTACTGTATATGATTGCTAATGTTGTAATATTTGAACAATTATCTTTTCATAGCTATATACTGTGGTTTTTTCTTTGTACAGTGAAATATTCACACACAAACCATCAGTTTATTCAAGTGCTTTCATGTCAGCAATCCAAAAATACACTCTAGCTTTCTTTCATCAGTCAAAAAGCAATAATATAGGTTTAGAAATATCAGAAAACATGCACAGATCTTGAAATACCCACAGGGTTTTTTCAAGCAGGGGCAAATGACATAGATCATGTTTTGCAAGCTCAGTTTTGCAGAACCCACTGCCATTATTTGGGGATGCAAAGGACACTATCTGAACCTGCAGATAAAGGCTCTTTGTTAAATTGAGTGGCAAAAAATTCTGCACCCAGCACCCTGGCCAGATTTCCGTTTTTTTTTTACATAATGTGGGAAGGTATGTCAAATCAATTCTTTGATTTATGCTGGAAGCCTGTGTGGTGCACAGGCCACAAAGAAGGTATTTGTTGAATAAATGAACAGAATTGGATGAAAATAATCAAATGAATTCACACAAGACAAAAGAGATGTTCACTGAGCGCAAAGCAAACTGAGACTGTGTAAAAATTAGGTCGGAATATAATGGAGGAAGGTCGAGAATGCCAAGTTGGAATTCCCCACTGGAATTCCAGCGTGGATTTTGTTAGTTTACAAGGCTAGCAAGTAGCAACACCTGTCTCCCACAGCCTGGAAGGTCAGGATTTCAGAGCCAAGATTCAACTGACTGGGGACTGTCAATGGCCTCTGGGTGCATTGACAAGGGGTGACCAAACTGTAGTTTGGTGGGCTGGGGAGGCCATGGACTGCCCTGGCTGGAGTGACCTGCATTTGCCAACTGGTGTGCATGAACAGGCAGCTGACCACTACCCAATTTCTCAATCAGGTGTCAAAGACACATAAGTTACAGCTTGTATAAGCATGAGACAAATCATGCGGAAGTTATCAGTACAAATCAAATTCCAGAGAAAAATGTATGCTTCATTATTGATGAATGAATACCCTTATCCAACAGCACTTATTAGATCCCATCAGTTGTTGAACCTCACTCACTCTTCAAGCAATAAAAAAGATTCAGGCAGGTAGCTAATGCAAATTTTAAGACTTTAAAACCATCAATTTTTGAAAAAGACCAATACAAAAGCTTTCATCATATTATTAGGCACATCCAAATTTTTAAAATATCACAAGGGGTTGGAGTATTAGTTGTATTTGATTTCACTTTCTGCATAAAGAAATGTATCTCATACCCAAGTTAATGTCAATGAAAAAATGAGTGATGCTGTATATACAGGAAGTGAATTGGGGGAGCATTGCAGGGTAGAGCCCAGCAGTGGCTATATATAAAGATTACTTTAACAATATGGGCCATCAGAGTGCAAACCCAATTTCCTTCTGACTTACATTCTTGAAATTTCTCTCCATGTGTAGAAGAGAAGCTGTGGAAATTAGACTGATATGCTATGAATGGGAAGGACGTATAGTTTATTTCAATTCCAAAATGAAGTGTCAAACAAAATTTGAGAGGGAACCAAAGATGAAGTGGCTTGTACAGCTTCCCTGCATATACTCTGTTTGAAGGAATAAAATCTGACAAACCACCAAAAGATTAAATACAGTAGAATCTCATAACACAATCTCTATATATAACACATTTTGGCTTACAACCAATTTTTTTCAAAGTCCCAGCAGTTTTCCTTGAGACCCAGCATAAATTAATCTCATTTCTACAAATTTATTTTCAACAACCTCTCTGCGGTTATAATGAATTTTTGTCCCCAATCTGCAAAACTTTTAATCCAATTTTTAGATTTTTGTCCCCATTTACAAATTTTTGGTCCCTGACTTTTATGGGATAATTTTCATACGGCTCATCATCCCTAGATATAGTGCACAGGATTTGGGTATGGAGCAGAATTACACACCTAAAATACAGGAAGCTAAAAAATTGGTTACATTAGCTAAATGGCAGGAAGTCCATAAAATAAATGTATTGTGATTAATCTAATATCCAATTTCTCAGGAGCCTAGAGGCACGGTGCAAAGCTAGCTATCAAAAATCTATAAAAATGTGCTTTTCTTTCAATGCTCTTCTATCTTGAGTTATTTTATAATCTTTAAATTCTTTGTCAAATTTAACCATTTCATAGCATACATTTATTTCTACAGATATTGCAGAGAGAAAAAACAACTGCAGTTCTTTAGGCAATGAAATGCTTATAGAGACAATAAAGTGTATCTTTGTAAATGAATTCATAAACTTTGATAAAACAAATTTTCATCACAATGATTTTTTTGAAGTCCCTGTGAGTTTGTTGTAACCATCAGATTATATTGTACATGATTCTTCACGTGGCTTCACTGTTAGTGGTGTGCTATGAAGAAATAATAGCTGGGACAATAAGTTAAGATGGATTACAGGGGCATTTGTTGGGTGTTGGATCAGGAGCACAAGTGGCTTTTGCAGGCATCCACCGCTTCTTACAACATTCACAATTATCACAGGTAGGGCTCTCAGTAGTAACATCCTCATCTTCTTCACTGTTGGAGTCATCCTCTTCATTGCTTTCTTCCATCATTGTACTCATTGTTGTCTCAATTTCTTCAAATGCATCAAGAGTGTTGACCTGCCATTCCTCTGGCACCATAGTTTGCTCTTCAACCAGCATCTCAGAATCGCCTTCTGAAGATGCAGGGATAGAAGACAATTCATTTAGTAATTGCAATTAACTAAGGTATCTATGACATTATGCTACAGTATATACTGTATCTAATAAAAAAAAACAGGGTTTTCATCATTTCACTGAATCCATCCTGAAAAAGCTGGCATGACTTGCATATATACATTACTGTATTTCAAGAAATATCACCACATATGAAAGCATATTGTATGCTCAGGAAAAAATATAAAAATGATTTTCAGACCTTTGAACCCAGCAAAGAATGGGGGCATTGGGCTGGGGACCGTTTTGACATTGGCATTGGCAACGCCGTTGCAGCACCATTGTCTCAATGGGGCTGATTGCTGCCAACTCCCTTTGCTTTATTGACCTTGAGTGAATGCAATGACAAGGCGTTGGCAATGGCATTCTCCTAATGTTGTGAGAAAGGGCGTTGTGGAATTGGTGTTGTCAGTGCATTGTCAATGCATATTCAAAACGTAATTTAGAAAATTGGAGTGAGGCCATTGTTATTGACATTGCAGAACCCCTTCACAATGCATTGACAACAGCAAGCCAATTGCAGTGGCATTGGTGAATGCATTGAGAATAATGGGTTGACAATAAATGGGGCAAGTGATAATAGACAAACATATATTATTTGAAAGGCATTATTGTAATGTTTTCAATATTTTTGACTAATAATTTCAAAATATTTCTAAAATTATAATGCCTAGAATGAATAGATGTGTTATGTTCACAAAATCATCACAGTTATGTTCACAGTGTTATGCAATCAAGCATTGCAGTTCTCTCTGCTGTTTCAGCTCTGAAGAATTGTTATAAACTATTACAAAATATTGCAATGTGTAAAGTTTCCCCCAAACTTATTCTTGCAGCTGGATTTTGCTCCAAAGATTTTTTATATACTGTTAAAAAAATAAATCCATCATAAAAATTACCTAAAACTTGAAAGATCTGTAAAAGGTTTGCTAATTAAGATAGGAGGGTGTTCAAAAAAAGCAAAATGTTCCCCAAAATGAGGGCAATCCAAATTTCTTCTTGTATTGAACAATCATTGCGCGACGAACGTGCAATCATCATGCGACGTACACTTGATCATCATTTGATCTTCAATTTGAACATCGCATGATGATCAAGTGTATGTCGCATGATGATTGCGCGTTCGTTGCACAATGATCGTTCAATGCAAGGAAAAATTTAGATTGCCCTCATTTTGGGGAACATTTTGCTTTTTTGAACACCCTCCTATCTTAATTAGCAAATCTTTTACAGATCTTTCAAGTTTTAGGTAATTTTTATGATGGATTTATTTTTTTAACAGTATATAAAAAATCTTTGGAGCAAAATCCAGCTGCAAGAATAAGTTTGGTTCTGTATTTGTTACAGCAAATTAATGTTGAACATGGCTGAAGTTTTTCATTCATCAGCAGAATACTTTTTACACAAAAATATTGCTACAATTATTACATCAATACAGATGAAGCTGTGATTTTTTTGATCAAAATGGAGGTGAGGATCATATAGAAATTAAATTCATGAACTCCTGTTTTACCACACAAATATTCCAGCTCCTGATTTTCTGAATGAATATGGAAATACCTCATTTTGAACAGAAAGCACACATATGGAGTAAAGAAGAAAGAGGAAAGAGTATAACACAAAAGGCAATATGAAGAAGTAAATAGCAGCAAGGGAATGGGGAATTTATTTTTAATTTTTTTAGGGCTGTCAGACCTTGGGACAATACCATTGGCATCACCTTGGGAATGCGTTTGCCAATGGCAATTTAATGGTAGGCAATATTTCCCTTTTTTATTGCCTCTCAGGCTCAATGGTTTCAGCCCCGTTGGCAATGGGTTCCAATCCCGTTTCAACACGCCCCCTGCCAACGTTTGGGGGCAGGGCATTGAGTAAAGACCAAGATGACGTTTTCCCAATGGTCTTGCCCTAATGGCATGAGAACACCCTCCCAACGCATTTTGCAACATCCAAATTATTTGCTGGGAAGACTCAAAGGGCCCAGGTATGCCTCATGAAATTTTGATTATAAAAAGTATTATTTTGATTGAGAAATACCTTTTATTATTTATGTTGAACCAGCCACAATATTGTTACAATGGGGATTCAAACATATTATTTGAATGCAGATCATTGCATGAAATTTCTAAAGGTTTTTTCCAAGATGGGATGGATTCTTTCTACTTCCAATTTTTTGGACAAAGTGGCATCTTGAACCAATTGAAAGTTTTCCAACAGAATAACACATTTCTCACAGAAGAAGCCCATTAAAAAAGTATCCTAAGGATGGAGCTTAGTTTTTATGTTTCCTCAATTGTACGTTCTACTCTTCTATGATTTTGTAACATTTAAAAGTACAGTATATAAAGTGCATGTAACATTATTTTTATGGAGTTTGGGGTGGGGCTTGAAATTTGTTATTTTGAGATTTTTTACAAAATTGTTCAGTGTTTGTAACAATGCAATTTGAGCAGTATACTCCAATCATTTTCATAGTCTTCCAAATTCAAACATCTAAAATTTATAGAGCAAGAATTGCACCTTTCTCTGATGTAATGTCTTCATCACTCAGCTCTATCTCGTAGATTGTGCTGGACATCTCATCAATTGGATTAGAAGTGGATGAAATAGAAGACATCAATCCATTCAGTCCTGGTGGTGAGCAGGTAGTTTCTTCTTCTGGACACACTGTCCAGAAACTTGTGTATATGATCAGCCCTGGTTTTGGCTTGCGAAAGATATTATCAATGTTGTCAAAGTACAAGTCTCCTGATAAGAGTGAGCCAGTGAAACCAAGCCTCTTGTCTTCTGTTACTTTTGTCTTGAGGTCTACAATGTCAAAGTCTCCACCAGGCTGAGTAATTATTAGGGCTACAAACGTTGCACCGAGATCACCCTGAAGGAAAAAAAAAAGAGAGGAGATTTTATAGCTTATTTTCATGGTTCTGTTGCCTCAGCAAGGTTCTGTAGAACATTGAAGTGATTATGGATTGAAATTAAAAGCACTGTCATCACAGCCACAATAGTGCCATAAACTACAAAATTCAATTTACAGTGCTCTAATATTAGAAAAATATCACTATTCTATTTAGCAGAGATTAGAGGTATTCAATCACCCAAGTGGGGAAATTGGTGCACACTGGGGATTTGTTTGTAATTCTACACAGTGATCCTGCTGTGCACCTGAAGTGTACCAAAGTTCTTCTGTTGCACATGCATATCCCCAATGTGCACCAATTGTGTGTTCACACCAGGATTACTCAGGGTCACATTTGGGAACAAATAAGTTACACCAAGGTTACTGTTGGTGCATTTGTGTGATGCTCCTGTTATTTCACATTTGTGCACCAAGTGTAACCCTGGAATGATAGCAAAATTTCCTCTACAGGAGTGCACACTTGCAACCCCAGAATATCCCATATACACCAGTTGTGACCCTGGTGTGCACCTACTGTGGGGTCACAGCAAAAATAGCTCCCCACTCGGGCAGTGATTGGCTAACAGATCTGTTGCTTGTCTTTGGGTGTTTTTCTTCTATTGCCTGCAACCTCACTTTGCATCGTAATTTTCTTGAGAACCAATTTTTGAGTTTAAAGGAATAACCAAGGGGTTTGGTAGCATATTGAAGAAAGGTTTGACTTTGACAGAATATACACTGGATGTATAGCATACCACTTGAAGTTCCTGGTTGAACTTCCAGGGAAGAATAGTCAAATCAGTGTTTTTGAGGTCCTCAACAGCCTTGACATTCACCACCAACCAATTGAGGTAATTGGCAAATGTGCCCCCATCCGCATGAGCATCAATGCTGAGGATTATCACTAAGGTGCCATTTGGGTCAAGTGGACCAATGGTGGCAGGGGGCTCAAGCATGGCAGATGCTGGCACTGTGCTTCCTGCCTCAAAGTCCATATTGGCGAGTGTCATGTCAGCAGATGGGTCAAAGTCTAATTTGTTGAGGATATCGGCAATGGTCTGAGCCATTTCCGGTGGGATTGGTTTAGCAGCAGGAGTTTCATCAGCTGGTTTGACTGTAGATTCTCCATCACCTACTACTTCCCCGCCTGATCCATCAGCAGTGCTGGGTGGAGCTTCTGAGCCACCTGTTGGAAGTGGGCCAGCGCCATTGGGTGGAGTTGGGCCAGCGCCATCGGGTGGAGTTGGGCCAGCGCCATCGGGTGGAGTTGGGCCAGCGCCATTGGGTGGAGTTGGGCCAGCGCCATCGGGTGGAGTTGGGCCAGCGCCATCAGGTGGAGTCGGGCCAGAAACTTCAGGTGGAGGTGAGGCGGCACCACCACCGGATGCAGTCAACCCATCACCACCAGCTGGAGCATCGGTTGCCACGGTTTCAGGTCCTCCACCTGCTGCAGTTGTTTCTTTGCCATCACCACGGGCTGGGGCCTTATTAGGTTTAGCATCCGCTTTTCCCGGAAACGGATCCTTCAAACGCTCTGGTGACTCATCAGCTATGAAATCCTGGAACAAGGAGAGTATCTTCTTGACCTGGCCTTCCTCTCCTCCATCATGCCCATTATTGTGAGACACCAGTAATCGCGATTTAGCCACAGGAAGGTCATCACCTTCAGTCAAACTCTTGGCATGCAGCATCCATGCTAGAAGTAAGCCAGGAAAAGAAGCACCAATGACGCATTTCTGGGGTTAAATACTGGGGTTGTCCCAGTTGGACACGACCTCAGATATTTGTGTCATCATTAAAAATGAAAAGTTACATAACTTTAGATTTTCTAAGGTCCCAGGATTTTTTTTCCCCTGGTTTTCAGTTTCCTGCATAATGATGCATGACTGAAAGCTTCCCAGTTACTGCCAGAGTTCTCCACCCAGGTCACAGGGGGGTCAAGGTATGTCAGACCAGCTAAAGAAAATGTCTAAATTTTTTACCCATTAAGTTTTCTGAATCTGGTTAATGTAACACAGCCAGAACTTCAATTTGTTTGCTAGCCTGAAAAAGTCATAAGACCCCATGACATTGTTGGAGAACTCTGACTGTAACTGGAAAGGTTTCACTATCATCATGCAGTAAATGAAACACTTTTTAAAAGCAAAAAATCATATTTTAAAACACGTAAGAACATCATATGGGCCATGAATTCACACCCACTCTTAAAACAGAGGTTACTTTGAACTGGGACAACCCTCATAGTTCCAACAACCTACTTTCAATAGGGACCAAATTATAGCAAAAGCTTTTTTAGATACTGTATTGTGATTGCTTTCTTCAAAGTTTCAGCAATAATGTCTTTAACCCAAGGGAGTTTTCATGCAAAATTCAAAAGTGGTAGTGGGAAGTTGAAGTCTGAGGTTCTTTATGTAACCATCTTTGAGCATGAGCCAAAATTTTTCTCAGTGTTACACCTAAATAATGCTTCTTTTGTAAATGTACCTGTATTGTCCACTTCTAAAAATGTTGATATACCTGGTCCTGATTCAAATGGTTTCTTTCTTCAGTCTGCTTTATGTACTGTATATGTAGAAATGGTGATGGTACACCATAGCAGTTATTAGGTACAGCAGTTTTCCAAGGTTTTCTGCTAGGGTGATTTTCCACCCAATTAATTTATTTAGGTTGATCTTTTTTATGAAGAGGGGGTGGCAGAAAGTCCCAAACACCCCTGAATAGCATTATGGGCATTTTTAAAGACAATTTTTGCTGAAAACTTTTAACCAGGGAAAATTCATAAAACACTGCACTATTTTTCAAGTCATGGGCCAAAGAAACTGTCAGGAGGTCAGATTTATTCCCATTCCACACATAGCCTTAGATTGGGAAGCTTTGATGTTTGTGTCCTACAAAACTTTGACTCATCAAACCTGCACTCACCCAAGCTGCAGACAATGAGCAGTCCCAATGATGGGTTTGGCATGATTGCCCTTTTCCTATTAGTCTCAACTTGAGAGTAGAATGCTACAATTTGAAAGTACAAGTCAGGACTGTTTTCAAACTTATCTCAACACTTTGAATTTCATATTCCGGAAAGGGTATCCTTGGGGGGGGAAATTAAGACATCCTGCAGATTAGAAAAATGTGGATTGCGGATATCACTTGATTCTGCATCATTCAACATGAAGAGGGCTACTCTCAAAGTTCTTGCCCTTTATAACTTTTGGTCTGAAGCTGGTATGAGAGGATTTTCTGGTCTCTGAAAACAGCAAGCCCATTCTGTAGCCATTTCCTGAATATTCTTTAATTACAGTCAGCCCCTGCAAAACAGACTTAATTTTTGCAACATAAATCTGTTATTCAAAAAGTCTGTTGTGCAAATTTAATTATTGAAAAATTAAAAAACTTGTCACCATTAATTTTAAACCAACTGAAGTGCACTCTGCAGATTTAATCCATTGCAGGTAGAATAAATTTATAGTATAATAGTATAACTAATACAAATATATATTAATAGTATAAATTTCACAATCATGACTTTGCCTCTTTTTGTTTTTTGGAGTTTCCTAAACTGTAAGAGGAGCCTTCAAGAAAGGATTTTTACATTTTCAGGGGTTGATTTTTACCCACTGAAATTTTGGTACTTTCCTGTTATCTCAGTACCTCCTTTTCTGTTATCTCTGTACCTTCCCTCTGACCAATTTAACCTGACCTAACCTAACTTCACCTAACCGACTCCCAAATCAGTTTCTGCTTTCTTTGTTTCTGCTGAAACTGATTTTGGGAGGCGGTTAGGTCAAGTTATGTTAATTAAAATATATTTGTACTAACATAACCTGACCTAACCTAACTTTACCTAACCACCTCCCAAAATCAGTTTCAGCAGAATGTGGAAAAATAAAATTCACAGTTTCTGGTAGGTTGTTGTGATTATGAACTTGTCCTAAAGATTTGTCTGGATGGTAGTGCAGTCTAGGAATGAGGTACTGAAATAACAGGAAAGTACTGAAATTTCTTTGGAATTCCGAGGATAGTTGGTCTGGTGCTTATTGAAAAATATCCATAAATTAGACGGTTGTTTACACAGATTCTGATGAGAAATATTTAAAAAACACTGTACAGTATTTATTTTAGTGCCAAATCCCCCTTCTACTCTAACATTTAAGAAGAAATTGATGCCTGTGTATGACATGCATCCGATTTTTCCCTCAACTGTGGCTAAAATTTAAATGATCAGGAGGACGCAATTAATAATGAATGAGTGACTTCAGACTTACATAATCTCTACTTGATTTTTATTTGCTATTATTTCATTTGATTGGCATTGTATATTTGCAGTTTACTGAAAAAGTTGAAATTGTATAACAAAAAACTTGTTTACGGGAAACTCTCAACTTGGATTTGACACACAGCCAAATTTGCTTTTCCAAAAAAGTGTGAATTGTAGTCACAACTCACAAGTGAATAAAATATGCGCCAATTTTTATGCTTTCATGGATATTTTATTTTCAAGTCCAGGACAATTATAGAAACCTCTGTTTCCGAATTTCCATTCCCATAAAATCTTTGCAATTATCTTTTCTGCAACCCTTTGCCAAATGGCAGAAATGCAAACTGACAACTGACATCCTCCACTAATATTTCCTCTCTGGTTCTCTAAAATCTGTCTTACAATGTTTGCAAAATCGAGGAGAAAATGTTTGCCAATAATTTCATTTCCTCTACAATTATGCGGAGTCCTTTGCTCGTTCCTTTTCACATTGGCAATCTTCATCCTTTTTGAATCTATACAGACCTGGGAAAAATAATGTGCATAATTTAAATGCTGGATCATTATGAAGACTGTGTATTTCTGGAGCGAATTGAAGTAATATTCTTGTTGACTTCATCGCATCAATATGCAGGTATTCAAACTTTTTTGAGGCTTCGTGAATCAATTAAGAAACAAGTGGAATGAAGCGTCTTCAGTCAAAGCGAATTTTCAGAATATTTGGTCAGAGTTTCCACTCTCCCGAATATATTTTATGAAAAATCACTGCCAAATTTGCACGCGCAAATACGGATTGTATCTTTGGGCAGACTGAGTTGATCTAGGTTTCTTTCAAGTTTCATCTGAAAGTTAATTGTGTCATTAATAGAAGACAAAATTACAAGTATGAGTACCTATACTGTCTCGATGAAGTATAGAATAATTTCTGTCAAGACTTACAGCAAATTAAAGTAACATATTCTGTGGAATTCTTAATTTAAAAAAGCTATGGAAGGTCATCAATAAAGTTGGCATTTCAAACAGGTTCATCATCTGACACACAGAACATTAATCGATGACAGCAGGATCATTTTTAAATATTCATCATTACTGATTTTAGGTGATCGAATCACGAAGATTGTTGCCCATTTATTTGGAGGAATTCATGGCTGGGTTCCTGAAGCAGGAAATAAAGATCAAGGACTGGTTCGTGCCGTCGGAAACGAATCAGGGTCTGATCATCGATGACACAATCACTGACATTGATGGATTTCAACGACGGCGAAAAATCAATCTCGGCGTGATTCACGCTGACCGGAAACCCTTGGATGCATCGTCGTCGTGGAAACATGAAGATTCCAATGGTAGGCTATTCAATATTACGATTCATTGATTGGCTATCGAAGGCTATATGCTCTAAGCCTCCAATTCAATTTTTGCTTTTTATTATAGCTTAATTATCTTTTCGACTGAGCCTCACACCGTCCTCGTAAATATTTATAGGTTAACGCATTTAAATTATTAAAAATACTTCACTGTCCCCGTACTGAATTAAGTTCTGTACCTGAAGTCAACTTCACGTTATTATATATTTTCAAAATCATCCACCAGAATAAATGAGAGATTGTCACAATTTATGATGGAATGCATGATTGAAGCTTTTTTTTCAGCAGAGCACATATTATAGCTCTTAAACAAGTACAAATTCAGGTAATGCCAATTACAGTCAGGTCTGACGTGAAAATTTTTTGCAGTCATTAATTTTGAAAATCTTGTGACAAATTATTTCGCATAACAAACTATTTATGAAGCCGCCAAAAGTTTTTGTAATGTTTTACAATATTTTAAAAATCTTTAATCTGGCCTCAAAATGGACAATTAACAAGAAGTTTGTACAATGTTTTACGGTATTATACTAAACTTATATAATCTGGCTTCAAAATGAACAATTGACATTCCATGATACTGTACTCTTAAATTTGCATTATGATATTTGGGCTCTTTATTCACCTTCATATTCAAATGCGTGTCGGGGTTATTGATGTGGGAATAAAGTGAGGAATAAGCTATTAGTTTTCTTGATTAATTTCTAAAATGTTCAAATATTTGCAGAACACCAAAAAGACTTGCTCATAGAAAATTATGATTTTTTCCGCTTTGCGGTAATTTTATTCTCAAAAATCCTTCAATGGAAATTTTGCAGAACGCGATCATCAATACACTTTTTTTATCATCAGAAGGAGCTGGAGAATCAAAAAACAAGTCTTGCTTTTCTGAGCACACATGATGGCAAAAACTTGAAAATAGCCCAAAATCAGCCTACTTTTAATTGTGAATTAGGGTGATTTTATGATGAAATTTATTTTTAGCATTCGCACATATAATCATAGCTCAATTTCTCAAAGAAATTTGAGCACTTGAAAAAAAAGGAAAATTCGTGTTCAATTTTCAAGCATTCGCCATCACATACTGCGATTTTTGCTGGGTTTGGCAACCAGGAATACACAAAAAGCAAGCAGCACGCAGACATGGTTTTTGTCAGAAAGAGATTTTTTGTACTGCTTTCAGACAAGGAAAGAAAATGAGAATTTTCCTTCCGATGAAAAATAGAAGGA